AGGATGGTGACCATTAATTTAGCAAACATTTATAGAATGTCACTGTCCTAAGTGCTGGAGATACAGCATTGAACAAAACAAAGTCTGAAGACTGACTTGTGGTTCTTATTTCCAGACAAAGCCCTGGACTTCCCTGGGCTCCTGGACATGATGGTACCTCGACTCAGGCCGGTAAGGGCCCTTGCCTTGGAGGAGATTGTATGTAGAGGGGTTATTCCAACCAGTCCTGTTTTGTCTGGTATACCCTTAAGGGAGGACTCTGGAGCACTAACTGTGTGTTCCCTACAGATGCGTCCACCACCTCCCCCACCGGCTAAAGCCCCGGATCCTGGCCACCCAGATCCCCTCACCTGAAGGCCAGGGAATCCTTGACCCCCGGTGATGCTGCTGTCCCTATCTTCAAGCTGTCAGACCACACCCTCAATGATCCAGAGCAACACAGCCAAAACCTGGAATCTCCCTTATTTCTACCCTCACCTCCAAGGGTAGAAACTTGCCCCTTCCCATTTCTGGGACTGGAGTCCACTCCTTTTTTTCCCATTGTCCTATCATCTCTAGGACTGGAACTACTCCTTTCTCTTCTGCCATCACCCTATCTAGGGTGGTGAAATGCCTGAAATCTCTGGGGCTGGAAACCATCCATCAAAGTCTCTAGTGGTTGTGGCCCACCTCTTTCCCCACCCTGGCTCCGTGACCCACCCCACTCTGGATGCCAGGGTCACTGGTGTTAGGCCGGGGAGAGGAACAGGCCTTGGGAATCAGAAGGCGCTGGAGCCAGGATGCGAAGCAGCTGTAATGGTCTGAGCGGATTTATTGACAATGAATAAAGGGCACGAAGGCCAGGCCAGGGCCTGGGCCTCTTGTGCTAAGAGGGCAGGGGGCCTATGGTGCTATTGCTTTAGGGGCCCACCAGGGGCAGGGGCCTGCTCCCAGCTGCCACGCTCTATCATATGGAGCGAGGTGTTGGGGAAGGCGGGTCAGGCAGCCTGTTGCAGGCAGGGGAAGGAGAAGAGACTGAGGGGCCATGACCTCTCCTGAGGCCCCCAGCCTGAGACCGTGTAACTCCAGGTGGAAGTTGAGCTGGTCCCTCAGCTGGGGGGCAGTGCTGTCCAGTGGAGGGGAGGGCCTTCACGCCCACCCACACCCTGGCCCTGCCAGCTGGTAGTCCATCAGCACAATGAAGAAGGAGACTTGGAGAAGAGGAAGAGTAACAGTATTGCTTCCTGTTCAAGCTGTATCCAGCTTTTCCCCTGGGGCTGCAGGACCTTCCCTACCTCCACCACCAAACCAAGGGATTTATAGCAAAGGGTAAGCCTGCAGTTTATACTCTGGGGGTTCAGGGAGCTGAAAGGCTTAAGTAGTTTAAGTAGGTGATGGGAAGATGAGATTACCTCCTTTAGGGCTCAGGCAGACTCACCTCACATACCCCCTGCTCCCCGTGGTAGAGACACCTGAGAGAAAGGGGAGGGGTCAACAAGAGAACAGGAGTAGGTCATATCAGTGCCCCCCAGAGTAGAGAGCAGTAAGAGCCCAGCCCAGTACAGTCCTGGCTGTGTTTTCCTACCTGGTGATCGGAAGTGTCCGGTTTGCTTTGCTGCCCATTTGCCTCTTGAGTGGGCAGCCCTGGGCTTGGGCCCCTCCCTCTGTCCCTCAGTGTTGGCTCTGCAGAAGCTCTGGGGTTCCCTTCAAGTGCACAAGGGGCTAGGCTGCTGTCCCTGAGTCCTCCATTCTGTACTGGGGGGCTGGCTAGGACCTGGGGCTGTGGCCTCTCAGGGGGCAGCCTCTCCATGGCAGGCATCCCTGCCTTGGGCTGCCCTCCTCCAGACCCCTGACCACCCCCTGGGTCCTGTCCCCCACCAGAGCCCCAGCTCCTGTCCGTGGGGGAGCCATCACGGTGTTCATGCAGTCCATAGCGCTTCTCAATGTGTGTCACCCGGAACCTGGGAGGGAAGGGAACACCGGGGTTTAGGACCACAACTCAGAGGCTGCTTGGCCCTCCCCTCTGACCAGGGACATCCTGAGTTTGGTGGCTACTTCCCTCTGGCCTAAGGTAGGGGAGGCCTTCTCAGACTGTGGGGCACATTGTGTAGCGTGACTTCCGCTGGAGCTCCCAGTCCAGGAGGAAGGAGCCAAGGCCCACTTTTGGGATCAGGTGCCTGATCATTGGGCCCTCTACCTCAACCTCACTTTCCCTGGAGCACCTGCCCCACCTGCCCACAGAGAACACAGTGGTCTCCCCTGTCCGGGGGCGGCTTTTTCCTTCCTTGGAGCGTCCCTGACGGACAAGTGGAGGCCTCTTGCTGCGGCTGCAATGGATGCAAGGGGCTGCAGAGCCCAGGTGCACTGTGTGATGATGGGAGGGGGCTCCGTCCTGCAGGCTGGAGGTGGCATCCACACTGGACAGCAGGGAGGAGGGGAGCAAGGGTAACATTTCCATTTCCCTTCATGTTTTGTTTCTTATGTTCTTTCAGCATGCTCCTTAAAACCCCAGAAGCCCCAATTTCCCCAAGCCCCAACATTTTTTCTTGTCTTTATCTAATAAATTCAATATTAAGATGTTAGTGACCACATGTTCTTCCTCCCAGGGCTGTTTGCTAAAAAGAACATTGCTTAACCCAAAGGAGTGGCACTAGAGGTAAATGTTAGGTTTGATGACATCTAGATGAGAGAGATGTTTTGAAGGAATCGAGATTTCTACAAAACTTCTTTCTTCCTATAAGTTAGCCAGCTTTGCCCTTCCCCCAACCCCATACATGCAAGGAGACTGGGAGAGGATTGTGCTGGAGGAGAGGATACTCTCCAAGGCAAGCTAAGTCATGCTGGCCCTTGTTTCCAGCTCACCTGGACAGCTGCACTGTCCCTTCTCCTTCACTGTCCCCCAGCATCTCCTTCAAGGCCTCAGCATTGGCTGAGGGAAGAAGGAAAAGAGGGAGTCAGTGAAGGTGGAAGTCAGGGCAAGAGAAGGTTGGAGAAGGAGGGAGCAAGGGGCTATGCTAGACCCACCTTCATTTTGGATGATGCAGCGAACAATCCTCTCTACTGTGTCCTCATTCATGTCATCGTCCTCAGCTGAAGGATGAAAGAGATTGGCAAGGAAGCAGGAATGAGTCAGCTTTGGGGGAACATTACCTGGTGGCTCCCATCATTTATTGCTTAGGACATACCCTTTTACCTACTTGCTATCATGCTGGACCTCAGCATTTCAGGGACCAGAAAAGATGGGGACACCAATGCAATCCCAAGACTACCATCCAGAGGACCCTTGCTGCCCATGCTGCTTTCTCTAGTTTTGCTTTCAGAGTGGTGTCACCCCACTTGCTAACTCAAGAGTGCATCACTAAGCTTCCTGAGCAGGCTTGATCAGGATTTGGCCTGGGTCTGTTGGTCAGGGAGGCAGAGGTGGGGGCAGAGATGTGGGGAGAAGGGTGAAAGGTTACTGAGCCAGGGTTCCAGGCTCCACTCACGGGGCTGAAGCTGGGCATCGTCAGGCTCGGAGCCCCTCGACGTGCGGCAGCGGTAGCCCTTCTTCTTGAGCACGTGGCAGATCATGAAACCTACCAGGCCCATGAGGAAGAAGACCAGCACAAGCAGGAAGAGCATATACAGCCCATGTTGGGGCGGTTCCAGGTCAGGCTGTGGTTCCGACATGAGGCCCTGGGGGGCGAGCGCGGGCCAGGGCGCCTCCTGGGTTTAGGGGGCTGCAGCTGGGAATGGGGGAGGGGTAGGCATGCAGTCCTCAGAATCTGAAACAAGCACGTCTAAGACGTCCGGCTAAGGTCCGGCTCCACCCCCTACCCAACCAGGGAGCTGTCCGGGCCGGGGTGCTGTTTCGTCAATACGGCCCAAGGCAAGAGGTCAGCGGCTACGCAAGCTCTCTACCACGACCCTGGTCCCGCTTCCCCGACGCCCCGAGCGTTCCCCTTTCCAGCTCGTTCGCGCTTCCGTCCCTCCCAAGGACACTGCAGCACGAGATGGGACGGAATTCTTAGGCGGCGGGAGCAGAAATCGTGCCTGAGTCAGCGCCCGCACCTCCTCCGCGCCGGCCTGAGCCAGGCCTCTGCAGCCCCCTCCTCTCAGTACTCCCGCACCCCTCTCCCTTTTTGGTTTCTCCCACCCTGACCACCTGGCCCACCCGGTACCGGTGATTTGGTTCTGGTTCCGGCTTCTGCTCAGGTTCCGGCTCCAGGGGCGTCCTAGTGCGGCTCGGGGCCCCCGACGCCCTTCCGGCGCTCATCCCTTGATTCCTCCCCTCCCCCTTCGCCGCCTCACCGGCCCCGGGCTGTGGCTGCGGACACCCGCGCCGTGGCAGGAGGGGGGAGGGAAGGACAGAGAAGGATGCGGGCTGACTGAGAGCGGCGGCAGGCTCCGGGCAACTCCGGCCCTGGGTCAGGGAGATAGCCTCCGCAGCCGCCCTGGCTTCCCAAATGCCTTCGCCCGTCGCGGGCCCAGGACCAGGAGGCGGAGCGCAGGTGTGCGGGGCGGAGAGCGTGAGCTCTGCGCGCGCGTGACTGCGCCTGGCCCCCCCGGGGCAATGTGTGGCGCCGAGTCTAGGTCCGGGTAGGGGACAGGAGGTCCGGCGTGGGTGTTGTCCACTGGTCTATCCGCTACGCCTGGCGCAGCTCCTGCCCTCAGATGCCCCGACCAAGCGGAGAATCAGGAATCTTCCCCGAGGGCTGGGGGAAGCCGGCTTTCCGCACCTTTGAGGGACAGAGTGGCGGGATCTTCGGAGCTTCCTAGAGAAGTGACCACGGCCTGCGCCCGGTTTGGGGCAAGCGGCTGGATGGGATGGCCCAGCTTCCCGAGGATCTGACCCCCGGCCGGAGAGAAATGGCCCTCGCATCCTAGGAGCGATGCTACCGGTTCCCCGCCCAACCCGGGACGCTCAAAGCCGCAGCTCCCGGGAGAGCGGAGCCAGGCGAGGGGCGGAGCTCCCCCAGGGGCGTGGCCTGGGTGTGGCTGGAGGCGAGACCGCAACGCCCAGTTCCGCAGAGGCAGGCTACGTGCTTGCGCAGCACGCACGGCTGGGGAGGGGTTGGCGGCGGGCGGCGGGCGGCGGGCGGCGGGCGGCGGAGGCGCGGGGCCTGCTCCCGCCGGCACCATGGCCAAGACCGTGGCCTATTTCTACGACCCCGACGTGGGCAACTTCCACTACGGTGAGGAAACAGGGCTATGCATGAGGGGTTGGGACGCGGAGGTTTTGAGGCGGGGGGTTGCAACTCCAGGGGTGAGAGCTGACGAACTCTCTTCTCCCCACCGCCAGGAGCTGGACACCCTATGAAGCCCCATCGCTTGGCATTGACCCATAGCCTAGTCCTGCATTACGGTCTCTATAAGAAGATGATCGTGAGTTTCGCCGCCTAGGCCGGAGGTTGGGGGGGTGGGGCGAGCTGTGGCGGAAGGGATAGGTGGGCTGGACTGAGTGCATCAAGTGCGACCCGCCCCTAGAGTAGCGGGGAGCTGGATAGAAGACACAGGAGTACCTTGAAAGTGCCGGGTGTTGGAGGTGGCGTCCTCTGCTTAATGGAAAGTACTTTCTCAGCTCAGGTCGGCCACTCTCTGACTGTAGGCACACTAGCCCTTGGCCTAGGGTTAAGGTGATGTGAGGGCTGGTTTGAAGACGGAGTGTTCCTCCTCTGCATTTTAGAGTGTGGATAGGGCCTTGGCCTCAGGAATTAGGTTTAGGGGAGCGGATATCACTGTATCAGGGTGTAAGGTTTACCCTCAGTTCCCACTCCTCTTTTGCCACCTTTTTTTTTTTACCTCCAAGGAGCTGGGGCTCCAGGGTGGAACGATACTACCGTGTTTGTAAATGTGTATGTACGTGTGGAAGAGAGGAGGTATCTTAGGTATTCCTTTTTCAGCCCGGAATACCTCTGCATGGTTCTACTTAATCGCTATCCAGTTTTTCATCTCCCAGACATACACATGCTGTCTTCCCAGCTTGGAATTTATGGCTGTGATACGGGATAGTAACAGTTAAGCCAGGCCAGGTGTGGTGGCCCATGCCTGTAATCCCAGCACTTTGGGAGGCTGAAATGGGAGGATCGCTTGAGGCCAGGAGTTGGAGACCAGCTTGGGCCACAGTGGGACCCACATCTCTACAAAAATAAAAAATAAAAAAAGTAGCCATGTGTGGTGGGTGTGCCTGTAGTCCCAACTACTTGGGAGGCTGAGGGGAGAGGATGGCTTGGGCCCAGAAGTTTGAAGTTACAGTGAGCTATGATCAGCAGCCTGAGTTGACAGGGAGGACCTTGTCTCAAAAGAAAAAATAAGACAAAACAGCTAAGCCCAGGCTTTATGTGTTGCTAGGGAAGCTAGTGAACAATATGAATGAATGTTCATTGCTTGTGCCCAGGCACAGACAAATAGATTGGTCATAGAAAAGACTGAGGTGATGTTAGTGCAGGAATCGTTATCCCTTGAGATTGTTTGCCTATATATACCTGTGTGCATTTTCTGGGAGAAGAAAGCTCTTTCTTGTCCAGTTTTCAAAGAGGTGTGACACATCCCCTCGACCTTCCAAAGATAGTAAACTTTTGATTTTAATTAAAAAGTTGACATATATGCCTTATATTTGACTCCAGAAAGAAGAATCCGGAGGAAAGAGGACAGAATCAGAGCTTGGGGGAGGAGATGAGTGTGGAGAGAACTGGGAATAGGAGATCCAAGGAACAGGGCAGGTGGATCAGGGCTCAAAGTTGAGAAAGTACAATAGGCTGAGCTGGAGGTGGAAAGGAAAAGAAATGGTCTTCAGGGGACTCATTCATAATAACTCACCTGGTTAATCGGAGTCTCTCTGTTGACTTAAGGATTGTGGGATGAGGGGAATGCTATATTTGGCTTCATATAGTCTCCAGGGCTGGGTTCAGTATGGGTGGTCTGAGCCTGTGGAGTGGGGCTGACCCTGGCTAGATTCATCTTGTGTCTCCATCCCGAGGTCTTCAAGCCATACCAGGCCTCCCAGCATGACATGTGCCGCTTCCACTCCGAGGACTACATTGACTTCCTGCAGAGAGTCAGCCCCACCAATATGCAAGGCTTCACCAAGAGTCTTAATGCCTTCAACGTAGGCGATGACTGGTGAGGGAGGACTGGGACTTTTGATGTCTAATAGTTTAATGCCAAGCCCTTCAGTGAGGTCTTTTGGCAGCAGTGGGAAGATCTCAAGGGGGGCCTACTTGTCAATGAATCATAATTCACTTACTTGTTTATTCAATAAATATTTATTGGTCACTTGTTCTAGGCCAGGCCCTGTGCTAAGTGCTGGGAATGCAGTGATGAACAAAACCAAACTTTTAATACTGTATTTTTGCTAAGTCTTATGAAGAGGAGGTGTATGACAGATTATGAGAGTATATATGTGGAGAATTGTTTAGCTTGGTGTAGTGGCTGGTCGGTGGGGCCTTCCTAGGGAAGTAAAGATTGAGCTGAGATCTGAAAAAAGAGTAGAAGTAATGAGATGAAAGGTGGTTGAAGGGCGAGGGGAGGAGTATAGCAGGCAGTAGGGACAAGTGCTAAGGTTCCGTGGTAGGATTGAGTGTGACTCATTTGAGGAACAGAAAAAAGGCCAAGTGCAGAATATGAAGAGGTGGTGAACTGGACTGAGGCTAAAGAAATAGGGCCTTTTTAAAGTAAACAGCTCTATTATGAATTAGGGTTTTTACCCCTAGAGTAGAGGGAAGCTATCAAAGTTTTTTAAAAAGTCCTGATCTTAAGAGGGCTATGGGCAGTTAAGAAAACAAAAAAAACAACAAAGGAGTGGTTTGATGTCGTTAGGTTTACATTGAGCTGGTATCATCCATAGAAGAGTCAGGATTAGACCCTGTGGGGAAGGGAGTGGACAACAAAGATAAGCCATGATCTTTGCTTACACTCTCCTCTACATCCATGAAAAAATAGTAAGCATCACAGCTACCAGTTCCTCAATTCTACTTATTTTTGTTTTTAAGCTTTCTATTAGGGAAAATTTCAAAAATTTCAGAAAGTGAAGTAGTGCAGTGACTTCCCATCCATCACCTAGCTTCAACACTTATGAGCAAATGGCCACTCTTTTTTTTTTTTTTGAGACAGAGTCTCACTCTGTAGCCCAGGCTGGAGTGCAGTGGTGTAGTCTTGACTCACTGCAACCTCTGCCTCCTGGGTTCAAGTGATTCTTATGCCTCAGACTCCTGAGTAGCTGGAATTACAGGTGCCTGCCACCATGCCCGAATAATTTTTGTATGTTTAGTAGAGATGGGGTTTCACCATGTTGGTCAGGCTTGTTTTGAACTGCTGACCTCAGGTGATCCACCAGCCTCAGCCTCCGAAAGTGCTGGGATTACAGGCATGAGCCGTTGCGCCCGGCTGAGCAAATGGCCACTCTTACTTCATCTATACTCCCTCATGTTAGATTGTTTTAAAGCAAATCCTAGATGTTATATCCTTTTATCCATAAATATTTTATTATGTATTGCTAAATGATACTCTTTTAAAAGAAAAAGTATCATTATCAAATCTAAAAAGTTAAGTGATTCCTTAATGTCATCAAATATGCAATCAGTATTCAAATTTCTGCAGTTGTCTCATAATTATTTTGTAGTTAGTTTAAATCTGGATCTAAGCAAGGTCTACACAATGCTTTTGGTTGATAGGTCTCTTAAGACTTTTAATTTGTAGCTTTTCTGTCACTCCCTTGAATTTATTTCTTGAAAAAACCGGGTTGTTGATCCAGTAGAGTTTCTTATGATAGCTGCCATTTATTGAGTGCTTACTCTGCTAGGTATTATGCCAAGGATTGCTGGTAAATCCACTTAATTCTCGGCTGGGCGCGGTGGCTCAAGCCTGTAATCCCAGCACTTTGGGAGGCTGAGACGGGTGGATCACGAGGTCAGGAGATCAAGACCATCCTGGCTAACACGGTGAAAACCCGTCTCTACTAAAAAATACAAAAAACTAGCCAGGCGAGGTGGCGGGCGCCTGTAGTCCCAGCTACTCGGGAGACTGAGGCAGGAGAATGGCGTAAACCCGGGAGGCGGAGCTTGCAGTGAGCTGAGATCCGGCCACTGCACTCCAGCCCGGGCGACAGAGCCAGACTCCGTCTCAAAAAAAAAAAAAAAAAAAAATCCACTTCATTCTCATGCCAATCCTTAGATGTATTATAATAGACCTTTTTCTGATGTTATACGTAAGTAAACTGAGGTTTGGGAATATTTAGGTAACTTAGTAATTTAGTCACGTAACTGGCCATTGGAGTGTGCATGATCCAGATCCCAGGTTTTTAAACCACTAATCTGTTTTCCTGAAAGATCTTAATGACAGATCTTTCTGTCATTAAGAAATGACAGGGCTGTAGGATAGAGGCCAACTCATTAGGCTGGCCTTGGCACCTTTCCAACTTTATCCCTACACCTTAGTTTCATGGGATGCCTTCCTGGAATGCCCTTAGTTCTCTATTCAACCTCTTCAAGGCCTTCTCAGTCTTCGCACACCATCTCCACGAAACCTTTCTTGACCACACCAGCCCATAGAGCTCTGTCCTGCACACACTGCACTGCTCATTTGGTGTTCAGTCACGTGCTGTCTCGGGAGGGTTCTTGTTTTTTTGTTACTATACCTGCTGCTATTTCTGAGCTCACTTTCTAGGTCTGAGAATACAGGGTCAGCCCTTAAGCCACACTGGGGTCCTGTAGATGCTGTTTGTGCAATTAGGGAATGCTAATTAGAATACTATCTCTAGGCTATTTATGCTGCATCAGTCTTCCTGTCAAACAAGTTACAGTTGTCTTATCTGTATTTCTGATGAGAATCAGGAATTTTTCTTCTGTTTAACGAATTTCCAATTGCTTTCAAAGTATTCTAACATAAATAGCCAAATTGTACTACAGGCCTTTAAGTGAAAAAAATAAAAAAGCAGTCCCAGGCCGGGCGTGGTGGCTCATGCCTGTAATCCCAGCACTTTAGGAGGCCAAGGTGGGTGGATCACCTAAGGTCAGGAGTTCAAGACCAGCCTGGCCAACACGGCGGAATCCTATCTCTACTAAAAATAAAAAAATTAGCCAGGCGTGGTGGTGCATGCCTTTAGTTCCGCTGCTCTGGGAGGCTGAGGCAGGAGAATTGCTTGAAGCCGGGAGGCAGAGATTACAGTGAGCTGAGATCGTGCCACTGTACTCCAGCCTGGGCAACAGAGCGAGACTCTCTCAAAAATAAAAAAAAAAAAATTCCAGACCTCTCCCTTTCACCCATAAATCCCTCTGCCCAGTGACAGCCACTTTCAGCTCCTTTCCCTATGTCTTTTGGTATTTACCTTTGGATTTCTAAATAATAATAATATTAATTGACTATTATTACTAATCTGTAATCCTTAGGGAATACCTGTTATATACTAGGTACTGTTCTAAGTGCTTTACAGCCATTAGCTTATTTAATCTCAACAACCCTTGTGAAGCAGGGTGTATTATTATTTCCTTTTACAGATGAGGACACTTAGGCACAGAAAGGTTAAACAGTTTGTACAACCTCACTATCATTAGTAGGTGTTAAAGAACTGGAATTTGAACCTACGTAGTCTGGCTCCAGAATCTGTGCTTGTAATCATACTGCCCTCCTGTATTGTCTCTCATTGCTATTTCTTCATCTGTCAATTTTAGGTAGTATCTGTTAAGCTCTTAGTATGGGATATGAGCATTTAGTCTTCTTATACCATCACGTTGGCTTCCTTTCCCCTTTCAGCTTCATAATAATTTAAAAATAAATCAGTATTCTATGTTTACGTTATTATAACTCTGAAAGATTCATTTACTATCAAGCCAAATAGTGTAGTGTGATTTAATCTATTTTCTCATAAAGCTTTTTGTTTTTCCTGGAGCTGACAATTGCATTATTTTTTCATTTGCTTAGTTTTCTAGGTATTAATCTCTAATTCTTTCCAAACCTTTCAAGAAACTGTAAAACTCTACAATTCTTGCTTGAACCCGGGAGGCGGAGGCTGCGGTGAGGCCACTGCACCCCAGCCTGGGTGACAAAGCGAGACTCCATCTCAAAAAACAAATAAACGAAAAGCCCCTACAGTTCTGTTTTTCACATGGTCAAATGTGTCAGCTGCACTATTTTTCTTTTTTTTGAGACCTAAAACTAGGGATTGCCTAAGCCTTTCCTCTTTAAAAAGTCAGGTTTATATAGGTATAACTTGCATACAGTAAAATTAACCTTTTTTAGGTGTAAGAGTTCAGAGAGTTTTGATAGAATATATCAAGGTGTAGGGCCAGCGCCGATGGCTCACACCTGTAGTCCCAACACTTTGGAAGGCCAAGGCAGGAGGATCACTTATGCCTAGGAGTTCGAGACCAGCTTGGGCAACATAGTGAGACCCTGTCTCTATTAAAAAAAAAAAGTATCAAGGTATAGGAAATTTCCATTACCTGACAAAGGTCACTCACCCTTTTGTAGTTAATATCTTCTCTCCAACCTAGATCCAGCCAACTACTGATCTGATGTCTGTCCTTATATTTTACCTTTTCCAGAATGTTGCATAAATGGAGTCATACAGTAAGTAGCCTTTTGTGTCTGGCTTCAAGCCTTTGCTTTTTATAAAGAATAACAATGGTAATAATTATAACTGACATTTATTAAAGGCTTAGCAGATACCGTATACTGTGCCACAGGCTTTTCGTGGGTTATCTCATCACCGTTTCACATATGTAGGTATACAATTCTTTCTTTAAAATGTGTGACTGTGAAGAATATTATTGAACATTATGTTAAAATGTGTTACACTGAGACTAAGAAAAACAGAGCTCTTGTTTTCTTTCAACTGATTTCCTTTTAACATTGTACTTCAGTACCTGGAAGCTGCTTGCTTCTTTCCCCAGCTAGGATACAAATTCCCTGACAGTTAAATGCTTCTTTACTTCCCATCCAGTGCCTTGCACAGGGCTTGGTACATGGTTTGATCCAAAATATTTGTTGAATAAATTTGCAGATAGCACAGGTGTGTAGGAGGGGGACAGAAGGTTCTTGAAAAATGGAGATTGGAGGAATCTGGGGTGGGGAGGGAGGTATGGGAAGGGCCCAGACAGAGGCAGGAGGGTTCCAACTTGTTCCTCTTCCCTGCAGCCCAGTGTTTCCCGGGCTCTTTGAGTTCTGCTCGCGTTACACAGGCGCATCTCTGCAAGGAGCAACCCAGCTGAACAACAAGGTGACATAGTCCCGAGTCCTTTTCCTCCTTTCCTCTAGATCCCTGGACTCGGCATTTAACCCTGATCCTGGGCTCCCAGCTTGAAGGGTGGGCAGGAAGGACTGTGACTTGGGTGTTTGTCTTTCAGATCTGTGATATTGCCATTAACTGGGCTGGTGGTCTGCACCATGCCAAGAAGTTTGAGGTGAGTGAGGAGGTGATGGGAAAGACAGTGGCCATCCTCGGGTAGGTGTTTAGGATGATGGTGGGGGCAGCTGGGTAGGGGAATTGCTCCTCTCTTTATGAGACCACTGTCTTGCCATAGGCCTCTGGCTTCTGCTATGTCAACGACATTGTGATTGGCATCCTGGAGCTGCTCAAGTAAGTAGCCCAGGAGGAGATGGGGGCAGTTACGGGATTCTTGGCTGAGAAGGTCTCTCAGACTCAGCCCTGACCTTGACCTCCCTCCTCCCTGACTAGCTTCTCCCAAGTTCTTGATGCTTTATTCAGGCTGCCTCTTCCACTGCTGCAGATTCCCTGCTGCCTGCTCACATTTCAGCCTTCTCTGCATATCCCTCTTCTATCCCTCTTCTGTCCCTGCCTCTAGTCTCTAGCCTGGAGCCCCCAGTTGCCTTTAGGGAACTGGTGATATTAAGTTTCAGGTGACCAGGGCAGAAGCAGACTCTTCACAATTCGAGACCCAGTGTTTGGGAGGAGTGGGTCAGGGGTTCACTTCTAGCTCAGACCCTGGCTTTGGCTTCCCTCCAGGTACCACCCTCGGGTGCTTTACATTGATATTGACATCCACCATGGTGACGGGGTTCAGGAAGCTTTCTACCTCACTGATCGGGTCATGACGGTGTCCTTCCACAAATACGGAAATTACTTCTTCCCTGGCACAGGTATGGGAATAGGGATTACTTTCCTGTTTGCACCCTTCAGCTCTTTACTATGAGTGCCTCCTTCTCAGCCTTCTAGTCTCATCTCAGGTGTCCCCTCCTCAGAGAAGCCTTTCCTGACCACCCCAGTTGTCACAATCACCTCCTTCCTCATTCCTCTGTTACATCAGCCTCATTCCCTCAGAACACTCACTGCTATTTATGTTTATTGTGGTTTTTTGTTTTGTTTTGTTTATTGCCTCCCTCCTCATGCCTACTCCCTAAGAATATAAGCTTGGTGGGATATCGTAAATTTCATTAGTTCCGTTCACTGCTGCATCCCTACTGCCTAGTACGCAGTTGGCTCAGAGTAGATCCTCCAAAACTCTTTGCCAAATGAATGCAAGCTGCAAGAGATTTAGTGGCTCTAGGGAGTTTATGGTGAAGCTACATAGATGCAGTGAGAGGCTCCCAGAGTGCAGATTGGGGTTGAAACAGCTGGGCTGTGGGTGCTTGCCATGTGTGGCTACCACCACCCGCTTCCCTATAGGTGACATGTATGAAGTCGGGGCAGAGAGTGGCCGCTACTACTGTCTGAATGTGCCCCTGCGGGATGGCATTGATGACCAGAGTAAGTATTGAAGTCTTCCTTCTGTTCCCTAGGCCCCTTCTTTTTCTCCTTGAAATAACCTCTTCTGCCTCATATTGTCTGCTGTTGGGGCCAGGTGTCCTTAAGGATGAAGGGCCTTCAGAGGGACCATGAATCCCTGGGAATTGTATGCAACATATCATGTATATGTGCATTTTTCTGGGAAAAGTCATTGACTTTCATCAGTCACTCATAGCAGTCTGGGATCCCTTCCAGAAGTTTCAGACCAATGATTTGGTTCTTTTGGGTTGCCTCTTTCCTGGGCTACATGCTCGCTCAACCCCCTTTTTCCTTTTGTTCCCTGTCTCCCCATCCCCTTGGGGTGCCAGGTGCCCATCTTTGGCCCTCTCCCAGGTTACAAGCACCTTTTCCAGCCGGTTATCAACCAGGTAGTGGACTTCTACCAACCCACGTGCATTGTGCTCCAGGTAATACTGTCAGTTCCTCCTCAGGAGTGTTCTGCCTGGGCTTGGGGAAAGAGGGCAAGGGAAGAGGAGGTTCTTTAGGTTGGTGATAGACAGGGTATCTGTGATGTTCTGATCAGTTATCTCACTGCACTTGCCTGGGCTTTTGCTTTTTGCAGTGTGGAGCTGACTCTCTGGGCTGTGATCGATTGGGCTGCTTTAACCTCAGCATCCGAGGGCATGGGTGAGACTTGCTCTCCTTCTTCTCCGCAAGGTTTTCAAGTGGCCTTGGACTTCAGTACGTGGGTGGGGGTAGATGGGGAATGGGCCTCACCTCTTCTTGGAAATCAAAAGTAGCTATAAATTGTACTTGAACTAGAAATGTCATCTTGAACAGAGTTCCCTAGATGGTCATTCATTCACAATATATTTTTATTAAGCACCTATTATGTTCCAGGCATCGTACCACATCATGGGGATGGAATGAGGAGTCTCCTGTGGAGTTCACAGTTTAGGAAACAGACAAAAAATAAATAATCAAATGAAATAGATTGTTACAGATTCTATGAAAGAAAAAAGAAAGCTGAGACACAGGATACAATGGGGGACCTACTTTAGATAGCATGATTTGGAAAAGTTTTTTTGAAGAAGTAAAATTTGAGCTGAGACCTGGAGACTAAGAAGGAGTGAGTCATAAGAGGAGCAGAGAGAAGCCTGTCCCAAGCATTGACAAAGGCCCACAAAAGGCTCTGAGGGCTGGGCCCAGTGGCACACACCTATAATCCCAACACTTTGAGAGGCCAAGGTGGGAGAATCGCCTGAGGCTGGGAGTTTGAGGCCAGCCTGGCCAACGTAGCAAGAGCCATCTCTACAGAAAATAAAAAACAAAATCAGCTGGGCATGATGGTGCATGCCTATAGTCCTAGCTACTCAGGAAGCTGAGGCAGGAGGATCACTTGAGCCCAGGAGTTTGAGGTTACAGTGAGCTATGATTATGCCACTGGACTTCAGTCTGGGCAACAGAGTGAGACACTGTTTCTTTAAAAAAAAAGAAAAAGAAAAAGGCTGTAGCAGGAATGAGCTGACGAAGTAGAATGCAGGGAGCAGGCTGGAGGTAGTTTGAGGTGAGGTCCGAGAAGCTGGCCATGGTGAGATTGTGCAGAGCCTTTAAACCCTGGTAAGGAGTTTGAATTATATTCCAAACATGATGGGAAACCATTGAAGGATTTTAAGCAGGAAAGTGACATGATCCAATCTGTGTTTGAAAGTGACTATTCTGACTGCTGAATAGAGAAAAGTTTGGATGGGGGAATGGGGATGGAAGTGGGAACACCAGTTAGGAAGCCATGGTGTTGGTTAGGTGCCCAGACTAAGGTGAAGGAGGTGGCAATGAAGAACAACAGCCACAACCCAGCTGTTTCAACACACACACACATATATATGGTTTTTTTTTTCTTTTTTGAGATGGAGTCTTCCTCTGTCACCCAGGCTGGAGTGCAGTGGCACGATCTTGGCTCACTGCAAGCTCTGCCTCCTGGGTTCTAGCGATTCTCCTGCTTCAGCCTCCTGAGTAGCTGGGACTACAGGCATGTGCCATCATACCTGGCTCTCTCTCTATATACATATATATGTATGTATGTATATATATATTTTTTTATTTTTAGTAGACACTGAGTTTTGCCACGTTGCCCAGGTTGGTCTCAAACTCCTGAGCTCAGGCAATCCGTCTGCTTCAGCCTCTCAAAGTGCTAGGATTACAGGCGTGAGCACTGCACCAGGCATGAGTTATATTTTCAAGGTTAGAATTGACAGAACTTGCATTGATGAGAGTAGTTGGTTAACACGCAGGGTGCCAGGGAGGGTGTTGAGCAGAACAGAGGTGGGACTGTGCTTTATTTTAAAATTTTTATTGAGACACAGCATATAAAGTATATGCAGATCTTAAGGGTATAACATAATGAATTTCACTATGCAGCTAAAGATTTGGAACATTTATAGTTTTCTTGTGCTCCTTTCAGGCAATACCTAAAGGTATTTATTTACCTCGTCTTTTGATAACCTCCTCCACATCTTCCTCTGGTTCCTTTTAACAGGGAATGCGTCGAATATGTCAAGAGCTTCAATATCCCTCTACTGGTGCTGGGTGGTGGTGGTTATACTGTCCGAAATGTTGCCCGTTGCTGGTGAGCACCCTCCTGATTTCCTCCCCTGTTGTCCAGTGTGAGCTAGGGTGTCCCTCAGATATGGCCACGTGGGCCCTTCAGCCCACTTGATCAGCCTGCTCCCCTCTGCTGGTTGGTTTCAGGACATATGAGACATCGCTGCTGGTAGAAGAGGCCATTAGTGAGGAGCTTCCCTATAGTGGTAAGGACTACCCCACAACACCCCCATAACAGGAAGGCCATTCTCACCAGATTCCAGAATGACCTGGTTTGAAGGCAGATGGGAAATTTTACACTTTCAGAGCTCTGCAGGCTAAACCCCTGGGCTCAGAGCAGGGAAAAGATTGGGCAGCTATTATGTAGGTGCTCTGGATGGGAAGGAAAAAGATTGGGAAGTCTTGGTAGCTGCCTTTCTCAGTCTGAGCCATACTTTCTCCTCTCCTCCCCAAGAATACTTCGAGTACTTTGCCCCAGACTTCACACTTCATCCAGATGTCAGCACCCGCATCGAGAATCAGAACTCACGCCAGGTCAGCAGCTCAGAAAAGCTGAGCACAAACTTCTCCTGAAAGGTGGAGCCCAGGAGAGGTCAAAGATGTGGGAAGTAGGAAAAACCAAGGAGAAGGAAGTTCTAAGTCATCACTGTCACTGTTATTGGCTAGGAGGCAGTCCAGGTTAAAGTAGAGGCAGTTGGGGTTGGTGGGGAGGGACAGCTATCAATTGGGGGACCTGAACTAGAGATACCACTGAGATGAGAATCAGGATGGTAGGGGTAAAAGGCAACTAGGAGATTGCATGCCCTGGGAATCACTGGGAACTGCTCACTCTCTGTTCCTCATTTCCAACCAGTATCTGGACCAGATCCGCCAGACAATCTTTGAAAACCTGAAGATGCTGAACCATGCACCTAGTGTCCAGATTCATGATGTGCCTGCAGACCTCCTGACCTATGACAGGACTGATGAGGCTGATGCAGAGGAGAGGGGTCCTGAGGAGAACTATAGCAGGTCTGGGAGCAGGGACTTCAGCCTACTTCCAATAGGCTTGCTGGGGAGGTTTAAAAGGGAAAAAGTAAATGGGAAGGTATTAGCTTAATTGCCTCTGGCTTACCTCCTTTAGTCTGCTACAATTTCCTCACTCTTTTCTTTGCTGTTTTTAATGACAAAAATAACACGTATTTATTGTAAAATTTTAAAACAGCACCGAAATATGTTGTTTGCTTTCACACAATCCCAGACCCATTCCACAGGAGTAACCACTGTTAATAGTTTTTATTTTAGATAGGCCTTTTTCTATAGATTGCAAATATACTGTTCTGTATGTATATATAAACACATACACACTCATTTGCAGTTTGTGTGGTTTTTAGTTTTTTATAAATACAAATAGAGTCATTCTACATATGCTGCTTTACATGATATGGCTGGTTCCAGTTAGCTAATATAGATCTGCCTCAGTATTTTATCAGCTGTATAATAATCTGTTGTGTACATGGATTATTTTCCCTTTTTTTGGTATTACAGTAATAATGTGGCAATGAACCCCCTTACATATACATCTTTGCATTCTTGTTTGAGTGGGTTAGATAGTAGAATGGTTGCTGCTAGATCAAAGGCTGTGTGCACTAATTTTTTTTTTTTTTTTTGAGACAAGGTCTCATTCTGTCACCCAGGCTGGAGTATAGTGGCATGATTATAGCTTACTGCAATCTTGAACTCCTAGGTTCAAGTGATCCTCCTGCCTCAGCGTCTTGAGTAGCTGGGATCATAGGTGTGCACCACCACACCTGGCTAATTTTTTTTTTTTTGTAGAGATGAGTCTTGCCTTGTTGCCCAGGCTGGTCTCAAACTCCTGGGCTCAAATTCCCGCCCTGGCCTTCCAAAGTGCTGGGATTATTATTCCAAAGGCGTGAGCCACTGAGCCTGGCCTAAATTTTTTTTTTTTTTTTGAGATGGAGTCTCGCTTTGTCACCCAGGCTAGAGTGCGGTGGCGTGATCTAGGCTTACTGCAAGCTCCGCCTGCCGGGTTCACGCCACTCTCCTGTCTCAGCCTCCTGAGTAGCTGGGACTACAGGCGCCCACCACCATGCCCGGCTAATTTTTTTGTATTTTTAGTAGAGATGGGGTTTCACTGTGTTAGCCAGGATGGTCTTGATCTCCTTATCTCGTGATCTGCCAGCCTTGGCCTCCCAAAGTGCTGGGATTACAAGCGTGAGCCACTGCGCCCGGCCTAAAATTTTTTATATTTGCTGCCAAATTGCCATCCAGAAAGTCTGTAGTGGCTTATAGTCTTGCCAGCATTTTACTCAGTCTTTCCAGGTCTTGAGCTGGACAGGTCACTGCCTGCATACTGCTCTCTAAGGCTCTTTGATTTCTTTGCTCTGTTAATTTTTTCAGGTGGGATAATTGTATTGTGGTTATGTTGTTTTTCAAAAAAAAAAAAGTATCTTTCTGAGATACATACAAAATATTTGTAGATGGAATGAATTAGGGGGAAAAAAGGATAGGATAGAATTTTTTTTTAATCCCAAAACTTTACTGAAAAATGAAAGGAAAAGACAACAGAACCCAGAAGTACAGAAACAGATGCACTTAATGGAGAACAGATTTCCTTACATGACTGAGGGATAACCACAGCTGGACACTTGTGGGACACGCAGTCCTGCTCCCACGCAGGGTTAGAGGTTTGAGCCAGCTCTGCTGCAGAGCTTGATGGGCTTCTCAGCCCCTTCTAGAATCCACTTCTGTCTTAGAGTTCAGGCCTCCGTATCTCTCCTCTGGACTTGGGCTTTACTGCTGTGACTCTTGGGGCCCTCTTCAGCTCTCCTCCTCCAAGGATATCCCCTGATCCCCTCTCCTGGGTGAAGAAGTGTCTGAACATCTGGCTTCAGGGCTTCCAGGATTTACGGAAATTGCTTTTCATTGTCTGGTTTGGTTTGGTAAAACCTGTTTTTAAGTTCTTCCTTTTGTAGAGGTTTGGGTTTTTTATCAATAGCTCCAGGCTGGCATCTGGGCCTAGTCTCTGCATTATAATAATACCACCCCCTTTCAACAGCCAGCAGAAGCCTCAGGCCTCTTCCTGTTCCTAAGCCCTACCTCTCTGTCAGGCCACCCACTGAGTTTCTGTTCTTCTTTGATGCCTATAGCTCCAGCTTGCGTATGACTTGCAGAGTAGAAATAGGAAGAGTTACCACTTTTTGTGGGTTTGCCAAGCACCAGACACTACTAAGTGCTGTCTATTACAACATATGTATAATCATTCTGTTGCCATCAGACAACTCTGATGGCTTTTATTCTCAGATTAACATGGGAGGAATCTAAGGCTCAGAGAGACTAAATAACTTTCTTTCTTTCTTTTTTGAGACAGAGTTTCGCTCTTTTTGCCCAGGCTGGAGTACAATGGCATAATCTCGGCTCACCGCAACCTCTGCCTCCCGGGTTCCAGTGATTCTCCTGCCTTAGCCTCCCAAGTAGCTGGGATTACAGGCATGCGCCTCCACGCCCAGCTAATTTTTTTTTTTGTATTTTTAGTAGAGATGGGGTTTCTCCATGTTAGGCTGGTCTCAAACTCCTGACCTCAGGTGATCTGCCTGCCTCAGCCTCCCAAAGTGCTACAGGCCTGAGCCACCTTGCCTGGCGAGACTAAGTAACTTTCTGAAGGTCACATGGCTAGTTAAATATCCGGGCTGAGATTCAACCTGATTCTCTGACTCCACACCTTTAACCCTGTGCACTTAGAAGTAACTGAGACATTGCTTACCCTGCAGATAAGGCCTTTCTTGGCTTAGTTCCTTAGTTTCTCTTTGATGACTTTCTCTATTCTCCGTGTCCCAGAGAATACTTTTTCTATTTTTTTTTTCTTTTTCTTTTCTTTTTTTTTTTTTTTGAGACGGAGTCTCACTCTGTTGCCAGGCTGGAGTGCAGTGGCTAATCCCGGCTCACTGCAACCTCCGCCTCCCGGGTTCAAGCGATTCTCCTGCCTCAGCTTCCTGAGTAGCTGAGATTACAGGCATGCGCCACCACACCCGGCTAATTTTTGTATTTTTAGTAGAGACGGGGTTTCACCATGTTGGCCAGGATGGTCTTGATCTCTTGACCTTGTGATCCACCTGCCTTGGCCTCCCAAAGTGCTGGGATTACAGGTGTGAGCCACCACACCTGGCCTTTGAGAATACTTTTTGAAAAAGAAAGAAACCAATATTGAGTACCTGTTGGGCCCTGTTTTGCTTTCACATCCATTCTTTCACCGTGGGTTTATAATACCACATCACTCTTCTTAAAATTAAAACTCTCCTTTACCTTGCACTTAGGAGAAAATCCAAAATTTTGACTGTGTCTTAAAAAGGTCCTGCATGCTAGCCCTTACCTACACCCAGGATCTCATCTCTATCTACTCTCCTTCATGCAGAGTGCTCCCAGCTGTCCTGACCTCCTTGTTCTTACTGGAGTACATCAGTCTCTTTCCATTTCATGATCTCTGTAGTTGGTTTTCTTGCAGCTTGGAATGGCCTTCCTGAAGTCTTTCCCTGGTTAGCTCCTCCTGAGACTTGAGGTCTTACGCTTATAAGGTCTTATGTGCCAGTATTCCTGTCTGAAATTTCACCCTTTTGCTCCCATCACCTTCAGTCATATCACTTCATTTTATTAATTGTACTCTCCATCATCTGAAATTCTCATATTTATTTACTGTGTTAGTTACTAGTCTCATTTATTAGGTAAGCTTTTTGAGGACAGACAAACCTTGTCTGGCTTGTTACTCTACTGTACTGCTAAGGTTTATGACAATGTCTATATAGAGTAGTTCCTTAATGTTTATTTGATATGTGAATGGGTGAATGAATAGCAGTCTCTACCAACGAGGAGGAGTGGTTCTCAATGGGGCCTGAGAAATAGCTTTGGAAGAGGGTGATGGGAGAAGATTAGAACTTGGAGTGAGATCCTGACCTCTCTCCCCTTGCTTTGCAGGCCAGAGGCACCCAATGAGTTCTATGATGGAGACCATGACAATGACAAGGAAAGTGATGTGGAGATTTAAGAGTGGCTTGGGATGCTGTGTCCCAAGGAATTCCTTTTCACCTCTTGGTTGGACTGGAGGGAAAAGGAGTGGCTCGTAGAGTCCTGGAGTGGTCACCCCAGGGCTTTTGCTGACTCTGGGAAAGAGTCTGGAGACCACATTTGGTTCTCGAACCATCTACCCCCTTTTCTTCTCTCTCCTAAGGCCTGACAGTGGTACCTATTAGGGATGAGATATGGACAAGGATAGCTATATGGGACATTATTGGCAGTGGGCCCTGGAGGCCAGTCCTTAGCCCCCCTTGTCCCTTATTTCTTCCCTGCTTCCCTCCAACCCAGAGACTTTGAGGGACGAATGGGTAGACAAGGACTGAGATTGTCTCTGACTTCCTCCTCCCCTGAGTTCTGATTTCCTCCTCCCCTTGCTTCCAGGGAAGATGAAGAGAGAGGGATTTGGCAGGGGCTCTGGCTCCCTAACACCTGAATCCCAGATGATGGGAAGTATGTTTTCAAGTGTTGGGAAGATATGAAAATGTTCTGTTCTCACTTTTGGCTTTATGTCCATTTTACCACTGTTTTTATCCAATAAACTAAGTCGGTATTTTTTGTACCTTTCGTCTTTCTAGGACTGTTAATTCTTGCTAGTTTCCTATTTATGAAAGGAGAGAGAAATGGGCGTGGTGATGCATGTAATGAAAGCATAGTTAACATTCATTCAGCACATATCCTATGTTAGGCCCTGTGTATGTATTCTACATTTATTATTGTATATCTAAGAAGTTAATAGAGCATTTTGGTTAAGAGTTAGACAAACCTGGGCAGATTTGAGAGGAGTATAAGATGACTTCAGGTGTTTGAATCTGGGTGTTTAGAGTAGTGATGCTAGTTGGTGAAGATACACTGAGATAAAACATGTTAAGTGCTTAGCACAGTGCCTGACATAAGTTGCCCATTAACTGTCTATATGAAGAACAATGCTAAATACTGTAGTAGCCACAAACATGGACCTTTCTCTGGAAGAGTACATTCCAGTCAGTAGTATGATAAATACTGTAGCAGATACAGACTGGTACAAGAAAGAGGACTGATAGATGGGTCACTTCCTCCCCTCTATTCTGATTCTGTCTTTCTCAATACTAGCTTAGAAAGTAGCTTTTGGACTTTTTGGACAAAAAGTCTGGAAAGTTCAGCACTAAGTCAGGTTTGAAGTATGGGAGGGACAGCTCTATGTAACATTCTATCAGGTCACTGTTAGAAGGTCTGGACCAAGAGAGATGAATGCCAAATTTAGGAACCAGCCAGCTTGGCAGAGTCCCTGGTATATCTCAGGCCCTTGACTAGGCACTGGGGCTCTAGCGTAAGTCAGTCACTGACTCTACTCTTCGGGAACTTACACTTGAAATCTTGCTAGCTGTGGTCAAGATGATTCAGTCCATATTGTGAAGGCCGACTGGTAGCCACGTAACTGTCACACAAGGGACAGGTGTAGCTGGGAGAATGGATGAAATTGCTCAGAGAGAAAGTCATGCTAGAAGAACAAAGAATATACTGTTGGAGAATACTCATTCTTTTCACTTATGTTTGGTTTATGTCAGTGGGGAATCCTGGTTAAACATAGGGTTTGGCAGCAAATCAGACTAAGCTGGGTTTAAATTTTATATATCAATTATGCCTTCTTGGGCAAGTCACTTCAACTCTCAGAAAGTCCAAATTTACTATTTATAAAATGGTGAGGCTGGCAGAATCTATCACATGGGACTGTGGGGACTTAGAAAAATACATGTAGAGTGTTTTGCATAGTGCCTGGCAGAGAGCAAAGGGCATGGTTAAGTGGTAACTGTTATTGCTGTTTAGGCACATATTGGCAATAATTAGTTTGTCCTGATTAGAAACAATTAGATGGTACCTAACCTGGAATTCAAACTAGGAAATTAAACTCCAGAGCGAGTCTGGTTTAGCCTAGTACTTACCCTGGACGGAGCTCTGTTCTTGGTACCTTGCTTTCAAAACATGGTGGCTATCACTTTTATAACATTTTTCATGTGTTCCATGGGTATTGCACACATTAAAAACTGCATTCTCTTGGAAAACCTGGCACTAATTTTCTGCCAGGATAATGGTCTCATGCAATTTTTGGTCTGGGGTATGAGAGGGTCCAGGCTGTCAGGCTACAGCCACGTGGGCGCTGCGTGGGAGCCAGACGCCTGCGCTGCTCCAACCGCCAGGGGGCGGTGCTCCCCGGCGCGGCCGCGGAGAGCTGCACCGCCCACTCGCCACCCCCCCACGTGGGTCCGAATGGTTAGGTCCGCCGGGCAGGTAGCGCGCTTCCGCGGCTTCCCTCCGCCCCTCTCCCTTCCCCCATTGGTAGGGGCTGCGGGTCCGGGCGGAAGTGGGGCAGGCGGGCGGGAGTGAGGCGTCGTCGTTGTATATTCATGAGGCGCGCGCAGCCCGGCATGCTAATGAGGCGGGGCGCGGCGGCTGGCTAAAGAGCTGCTGGCTAAAGAGCGGCTGGGCGGCGGCGGTCGCGGAGCTGCCGGGCGGGAGCGGCGTAGGCGCGGGGTTGCCGGCCAGCGTGAACCGGGAATGGAGCCGCCCGGCGGGGGCCTGGGGCCCGGCCGCGGGACCCGGGACAAGAAAAAGGGCCGGAGCCCAGATGAGCTGCCATCGACGGGCGGCGACGGCGGCAAATCTAAGAAATTTGTGAGTGTCCCTCCCATCCGGCTCCTGCCTGGCCCCGTAAGCGCCCTCTGGACCCCTGCAGCCGGCCCCAGGGGCGCGCCTGCCTGGCTCTGGGGAGCCGCCCCCGCGCCTCCCTTCCTCGTTTCGCTCTGTCCACGGCTCTGCAGCCCGACATCCTCCCCTTCGGGACCTCGGGAAGCCCCGGAGTCCCACCCGGCTCTTACCCCGGCCACCTCGGGGCTTCCCTCGCTCCCTAGCCCGCACATTTTGCCCTCCCGCCCGCATATCCCCGGCCGTCTCTCAGCCCCATCTCTCCCCTCTCAGCCTCACTTCCTTTCTTCCTCCAGTACCCGAACACGCCTCCTCTTTTTTGGTCCCCTCTTCTGGGTCCATTTTCTCTTCTTACCCTTACCCCTTTTTTGGTATTCTCGTATTTCCTTCTCCTAAAGGTCACTTCCTTCTCCATGATTGAGCCTTTTTACCTGCTAACTTTCCTCCCGCCCAGTCCCCTGGGCCCTCCGCCGGGTGTCACCTGATAATCCTTCCCCTCAGGAATGTTACCTGACTTGAGCCCTACCCCCCTCCTTTGGACATTTGTCCTTGCGATTACAAGCATGGGTTCCTGCCCAGGTCCTATGGTCACTGGGGCATGACGTTTATTTGCTTACCAGTATTTCTCTATCCAGAGAACCTCTTCCCTGTTGCTCATCACTTTTCAGAGGATTAGAACTCTCATGATTATGCCCTTCTTGACGTAGGATGGTGGTAAATCTCTCCTGTGGGAAGAAAGTTGGACTGCGAGTTCAAGAAGTTTGTAATTGAATTGGTTTTTTTTACATTTCCCATGATAACCATCTCCTTAACTCCTTTTCTACTGCCTCTTGTGCCCCAAGGCGACTACTGGCTTCCCTTTGCGTGCCTGTAGAAGAGTAACCTTTCCTCAAGTGCCAGTTACTTTCAATCCGAGTCTGAAGGAATATTAATATACGTGTAACCCTATCATATTTCATTACCTTTTGTCCACACCATGGCCTCTCTCCAGGGAGCCGTTTGGTTGCTTTTTGCTATAAAAGCTTTGTAAGATATGTGGCACTGTCCAGGAGAGGAAGAGTCTTGAATATTGATGCTCATTATAATAGCTAGTTATAACTGTAGCTCTTTTGTCTTCCAGGTATTTATGCCCTTACCCTAGTGTATCTTTCTACTAAACAAATGGCTTGTAACTCTTACCTCTTTCTCTTAGTCCCACCTCCCAACATTTTGACCCAGCTCCATAAATTTGGGAAGAAAAGTGATAAAGCAGTGGAAACAGGAAGAAAATGTTGTTTTATGACTAGAGGGTTGAGATGTTAACCCTGAAGGGTTAGGTGTTTAATTCTAAATAGAATTAAAATAGTGACTCATCTCTTCCTATTTCTATTCTAGCAAGACCAAGTGCTCCTGGACTGCCCTTTCCAGTGATATCCGAGATGTCAGTAACCACCTGTTTTTATCTGGTGAACATCTTTTTTTTCCCCCTAGAAATATAAGGTTAAGAGTATTGACACTCGCTCCTCCTTTGGTGACTAAAGCAGCATTTTTATTTTTGTATCTTTCTTTAGGATAAGGATTGACCCCTCCCTGCCATTAGCTTTCCTTCCAAAACTTAAGTTCTAGGGCTCATATTCCTTCTATTTCTATATGTTTTTGTTTTGATTTTGTTTCCATGAGTACTGTTTGACCTTCCTCACCCGAATTCCAGCTATTACTGTTGACTTGTGGTGACCTCTGTGACTTGTTTTCAAGTCTTGAGTATAATTTTATATGTACTCTATTTTATCTAACAATTGTTTATTTCACAAATTTGAGAAGTCTACTATGTGTGTGGTGCTGTAAGGTGAGAAACCTGAGGAAGCTCAACCCCTTTTCACCTGTCTTTTGGAATGTCCATGAAGTCTTCTATATGTTTAGTGGATTTGGCTCAGGGTTGTTGGTATTTGCTTTAAAGAGGGTGGAGCTGAACCCAGTTCTCTTTTCTTTCTGCGGTGTTAGTCTTAACCCTTAATCTGCTGAATTTTTAAGACTAGATAGCTCAGGTAATTAGGAAAATTGCATTAGTAGCTAGGGAATTGAAAGGTTTCTAGGAAAGTAGTGCTGCTTAACCCTTTTATTGCTAAATGTAACCTAATCTCAAGGCATCAGAATATTCTTTCTTCCTCTTGCTCTTTTTCTGAGAACTCTGGAAATGAAAGATGAGGAGGAGCATTGCAATCCACTTCTCTTTGTGTCTCTGTATGTATATGTGGGTGGGTGGAGTGGGCGAGATTGCTGGTGTGCTTTTGATACCCGTGGCTTAGTTTTCTTGAACTATAGGCTAAAACTGAACTCAAAGCTCTTTCGCCGCCTCCACCTTTTCTAAAGTATGTGTCCTCTGGAGCTCCATTAAGAATGTACTTTATAAAACTGCACTGATTTGGACTAAGTGTGACCGAAGGTTGTTTGCATTTGAGGGATTATAATTCCTTTAGCTGCAACATACCTTTCCTGGCTTATGCAGGTTCTAAATACGGATTAACTGATGAGAACACAGAGCTCACAAATTGTCTAAGATCTGCTCTTACCCTCTGAGGCATCTTGTGTGGAAAGGAGATGGAGTCTCAGTTTAAAAGTGGTTGGGCATCATCTTTTAAAAACACATGATTGTTAGGGGTGCTGACAGTGAGTGGCTGAAGCCAGGCTGCCTGGTATTACCCCTTGGTTCTTCATGAGTCTGTCTTCTCCCGGACCATGAGCATACCGCTTCTCCAGCATTATTCCATTTCCTTTCACAAGTCCTTAAGGTGAAGGAAAATAAAAATTCTAGGTGAACAGAGGGTTTTCTGACTTTTCAGCAGTGATGAATGTGGGTGTCAAACAGACTGATTTCCAAAATATACATAAGGGGAGTAAGTAGAACCAGGATGTTAGGCGACTGCAGAGTATGCCTGCATTTAATAGACTTTGCATGCATTCTCATATAGTCGGGAAAGTGATACATTCTAAGAGAGAATATTGCTTCCTGATTTAACTAGGAGCATAACTTTGTAAAACATTAATTTTGGTGTGGGATTAGAGAGAATTTTTTTTTTTTTCTGAGACGGAGTCTTGCTCTGTCCAAGGCTGCAGTGCAGTGGTGCCATCTTGGCTCACTGCAACCTCCGCCTCCCGGTTCAAGCGATTCTCCTGCCTCAACCTTCCAAGTAGCTGGGATTACTGGTGCACGCCACCACACCTGGCTAATTTTTGTATTTTTAGTAGAGACAGGGTTTCACCATGTTGGCCGGGCTGGTCTCGAGTTCCTGACCTCGTGATTCGCCAGCCTTGGCCTCCCAAAGTGCTGGGATTACAGGTGTGAGCCACTTCGCCTAGCTGAGAGAATAATTTTTACTATTATTAAAATTATTGTTATTACAATTATTAAAATTTGTTTAATTTTGGATGCCTATATTGAGTTTTGGTCATGTTGCAGTTACGCAGTCTTCTAAATGCAAAGTAATAGAGTATAAATGTTTAGTTGTAGACTCCTGTCCAAAAGGAGAGAAATTAAAGGTAAAGGATGCCAGGCAGAATTTTAAGCAGATATTAGGAAACAGAATACGAAAGAAGTGGAGTTGTTCATGCAGATTTCTGCTTATATCCTCTTAAAACATGAACTTTAATCCAAAAGTTTGCAGAAAACTGAAAAATATACAGAGAACTTTGTACACTTTTTTTTTTTTTAAACAGATTATAAACGCAAGGATTATTTAGTTTGGAAAGAGGGAGGGGAGCCTACAGGAATGTTAGTGAGATGTTTGAGATGACAGAATGATAGCTTAAAAATTTCTGCCATTCTTCCTGCCTTGTCTTAAGGACAGATCATGAGTCTACTTGGTGTGGTTACCTGTACTTTCTCAAAGAAAATTCTCCCTCACGGGAGGCGAAAGTGAGGGAATGCCTTGGAATTAAAATCTCTGCCTTGGGAGAGGAGGTAAATTGTTTTAAAAAGAGCTGAAAATTTTATGACCGGTAAATTATGTTTATTATGAAAGCTAAGAAAATAGTGAGACATAATTTAATTTTGTTGATGGGTGCATGGGTCAGAATAATTTTATTTCATGTGTCATAGAATAACCTTTTGTTATTCCCCAAGGCCCTTGGTATTTTATAAATGTATTGCCAGGTTATTCTTGGGAAGTGTTATCTACTGTGAAATGTAATAGAGATTTAAAAGATAAGTTATATGTCACATATGATTTAGAAGAACAGGTTAAAATAATTTTTATTGATAAATACTAGATGTTATAGAGAAGCAAAGAGTTTGTATATGCAGGTTTATATATCCCTTTTTATGTCTCAGTAGCTGAAATTATTCATGGCTACAAAAATCATCCCCATTTTGAAGCAAACTTTGTATTACTTAAGTGGTTTTCTTTTTTCGTTGAGCCTCCTTTTCTCAATGACCTTTGTTTGAAAGCAGTAGGCAAAAAATTCATTTTGTGCTACCAGCAAAGCATTGGATGTTTGCCCCTCCTTGGGGTTAGGTGAGGCAAAGCCACACTCTCCCCTTGCCTGACTGCCTGTCACCTCCTCCCTCTGTTTTTATTCCTTTCCTACTTCTGTGGGGGCTGATTTGAGCCGTATGAATAGCCAGGCCTTTGGGGAATTAGGAGCAGTCAGAAGCTATTGATACTAAAATTTCTTAAACTTTAAAACCTTTCTGCTAAAAATTGAAAAGTGAAGAATACTTTAATTACCATGAACATATTTTACTGTATTTTCTCCTTTATTTTTCCTTTTTTTTTTTTTTTTACAAATTTCTTAGGATCCAGAAACACTTTTTAAGAAAGTAAAAGAAATACTGAAGGAAAAGAGAAATAGACCAATATTTTAATGAATTTTACCAATGATTACGAGATAACTCTCATTGTTCTTTCAACTTTGAAATTCTTACTTCCATCCATTATTAAATCTTACTATGAATGGTACCCTTAAAACTTCAGAGTTGGAAGGAACTTTAAATG